GCTGCTGTCCTCTGGGGTGGATCCCGAATGGTGCTGTATCTCAGTAGTCAAAGCAGTAGCAGGAAGCTGGTCTGGATGGCATCAGATAGGCACCTTTACATCCCCTAAGGATAAGTCATATTTGTGCTTGTCCCCTTCCTACCTGAAAGGGTACTTGGGACTGGTGACCTTGTCCAACATGTGTATCAGTCCTAGGAAATCTTTCTAGAGTCATTGCTGGAGCTGGATCAAGCATAATCTGAAGGTCTGAGCCAAAAAAATTCAGGCAAAAACCTGCCAGTTCCTAAGAAAGCCCTTCGCACTATGAGAGAAGCTAGTGTTAACATTCCTGTTCTCACTCTACAGCTTCACATGGAGTTTGTCTGCAGCATAATAGCTCTCCAAGCGCTTCGGCTGACATTTGCAGTCCTGCTTGCCCTCCAGCCCAGAAGCTTTCTGTCAGTGCATTTTAGTGAGTTTGTCTCCCTCTGGCTATATCCAATGCAACGTCTGTACAGAGATGACCTACTTGAGTAGCGAATGTAAATAAGAATTAAGGACACTTGGAGAAACACTTTTTACTGCCTTAAGAGCTCTGTATTTAAAAACAATCAATCACACAGGTTTGCTTCCATGCAGCAGGCTTCGTCATGCATCACACAGTTACACAAGACCTTAGCAAGTCTTTACTAGTTGGTAGCTTTTAATTATTTTTCCCCTAAAGATGTAGGTAGCTTATCTGCAGTTGGGCATGACATAATTGGTGTCCTGGGATTATCAGTCTTGAAAATACCAGCACTGGAAACCTGTACCAAATGAATACCACTTACACCACGGATACTTGCAAGAACCCAATCTCTGTCTCTGCTTGAGAAAAGCTACTCGGGTATATCCTTGAAGTAAAGGGCCTGGTGTGACACCAGATCAGGGTGCTACACGTTCAGAGCACCATCTGAGACCAGACACTTATGAAGCACAGCATGCAGCATCTCCATACCCAGATCCTAAAACATCACAGTTAATGCCATGAGCCTGGGCTTGGTCCAAGGACTGGTTGCATGTGCTGGGAAGGCCCCTTAGATTGCCAGTGAAAATACAACGCACTTTTCCTGTTGATGATAGGGATCATTAAACTGATTTGGGCAATATGAAGTTTTTCCGTTTCTCACTGCCTTGGTTGCAAAACCAAGCCTAAGACATCTTGATCATTAACGCCTCATCCCAGTTATTGCAGACATAGACCCGTAGTACTGCTGTTTGTCAACTCAACACTTCTTCTCACTCAGGTTTGTGTGGGAGAAGGAGGTTGACAAAACAGATTAGCTAAGGACACTCCCCAAAAGATAGCTTCAGTTTTAACTACAGAATTCTGGGAGAGTCTCTTAAGAAAATGACCCATATGGTCATTTTGCTTTTAATCATGGTTGGTTCCTGATGGTAACTCTTGGATGCATCCATCACCCTATTCTTCTCAGTTATGATTTAATCTTTAACCTTTACGCCTATTGTTCAAATCCAGGCCACACTAGTAATAAGGAAAATTGGAAATATAAATTTGGTCTGGAAAGGCTTGTGCAAAGCAGATCGAGTTTTATGCTGTTTCCTGAGTAGGGGGAAAAGGGTCTTTACGCTTCCATTTAAAAACAAATTCTTCCTCCCTGCCTTAACTCTCTTCCTATGGTTGTACTGTAACCTAAGGTGAGCTGAGAAAGGGCTGAGTTTAGATATTTGAGACTTTAGCAGTTAGGTATTCTTGTTACTCAGTTTGATAGTCAATAGATGGTGCTCAAAAATAGAAAATCCCATACCAGCTGCTATTAGTACTAGCAAATCACCAAATATTTGCTTTAATGGGGTTAATTTAAAATAGGGAAAAAAGAACAGAAGAGGGTGGAAAGGCCTGTCACAACTGCTGGTGGTGACAGGCAATTTTGGGGTGCCTGCATTTGCAACAACACAGCTTGAGATGAGACCTCTTAAGGAAAAAAAAAAAAAAGCAGCCTAACTTTCAAAGTGTGTACCCCAAAAGGCTCAGAAAACCAGATTCCCTGAAGACGGGCCAAGCAGGGCATCTGAGAGGAAGGGTACCACCAAAAGAATCACTACCCATGTTTTTCAACTACCTTTCTTGTTTGTTTTGGAGAATATTATGATCTCTGATGCCAGTTTAAAATGAAGTGCACTGCCAAATGTGGCTTATTTGACTGCTGTAAACCCTTATTAGGCTGCTCTACTCTTACCCACTCCAGCTCTAAGAGTTAGAAGGGGCTTGGATGTCTCTCTATAAAAGCTAACAAAGCCTTTCTGTGTGTCTGCCTGCTGTGTGGCTCCCCAGATCATCATGGCACTGCAGCCTGGCATTCCCAGTTGCCTCTCATTAGTAGCAAGCTCTGGCATGGCCGCTGATCACCCTGAGGAGTGGAAGGGAGCCCACTTGATGCCCTTGTTCAAAGTGCTAGAGGCTTTGACTCCATGCCTGGTAAATCAGTGCAAAGAGCCCCAGGACAGGATCGTTCACTGAGTCCTTGTCAAAAGCTTAGTTTTCAGTACTCCCTGCTTCCAAATTTTTGCTGGAAATGGTGCTGTGTCTTTTCCTGTGCTTAGACTTTGGTGGTTGAATGGAAGGATTCAGGATTAATTAATGATAATTAAAGGACTGGGCTAAGACTCAGAAAATGTCAATTCCTGACTCTGCCACATCACCCATGCAAATCTCTTATAAGACCTTGTTTCCCTTCACTGCCTGAGCTCTCAAGGGTGAAAAAGGATAACCCAGGGTAGCTGGTTGGAACCTTTGGAGGTTGTCCAGTCCCCTGCCCCTGCTCCTAAGGCAGGGTGAAATGCCCAGGTTCCTGGTACCTGGGCAGCCCTTGACCGATGTGGGAGTCTCAGGTGAGATGGGAAGATTGGGGATAGAGGGGACATGTCACCCTTGCGGGCAGCATGGGTTTCTGCATCACGTTGTGACCACGGCTATGTGGTTGGGTAGGCTCCCCTGCTCTGAGGCGGGCGGCTCTGTTCACCCTTGCAATGCCTCTGAGGCACCCTGCTCCTTGCCTGGTAAGGGCATGATGAAGAGTGGAGGAGATACTTGTAGAAAGATATATGCTAGTGATAAGCATGTGGGGCAGGGGGCTGTGCCTCCCACTGCATTGCAGGGCAGTCCTGTAACCTTCATCATGCTGCTCATATCTTCACTTATTTGCAAACAGGAATAGTAATGCTTACATGCTGCCACTAGTGTTAAAAGAATAGTTTTGTCTTACTCTCCCAGGTTTTTTCCCTCCTTCAAAGAGGAAAATATTTTATCTGATACTGTCTTTCAAAAGAAAGAGAATTTAGGGAGACTATCTTCTTTTATCAGTCTGAATATGACAAAACCTGGAGTGTTCTCTCTGTGCTACCACTATATATTTCCTGCCATTATAGAGAGCTGGCTGGGTAAAGGAGTAAACTGCATAGATGCCTCAGACTGCAGCCTGCCATTTTTTTAGCTGGTAATACACTATTAAGTCTATTTATGTAAAGATAGATTAGCTAGGATCACTGGCATTGAAAATTCTATTTTCTTCTAATGAACTGGACATAGAAAGCTATCAAATCATATTAAATTATTTAGTAGGAAATCTAGCTTGTCTTCCCCTTCATCTCTGGAGAGGAGTGAAATGTGAGGTCTAATCTGATTTTCAAACAGTATTTTCAAAATCAGTGGGCTTTTCGTGTAGCCTTTACTATGATCGCTCGAAGTATTTCAAAATGTCTTTTTTTCCTCTTGCTCTTGTTTTGCTTTGCCAGTGCATTCAGCTTCAGTCTTATGAGAAGCTACATACTGTTTCAGAATAATACTGTCTACTGATCTTGAAAATTAAAGTGAACTTCAAGAAATTTCACTAAATGGGTCATGATCTTGGGACTATATGTATTAAGATGCCTGAAACAGAATTCATCATGAGATGAAAATGAGTCTTTACTCCTTCTTTTCTCCATAATAGGCATGATTCCTTATGTAGAATTCAGCAAATTGGTCTTGGGACCAATCATCTTGTCAGGTAGGTGGAGAACGACTATTTATAGTCCTACCCGGAGAAATTGGTCTGTCTCTTAATCTCTTCAACCGCTTAACCTCCTTCTCTTTCCTACGTAAAGAATTTCCCAACATGGAGGAGTTTTCTTTGAAGAGTCAAGGCAACAATCAGTGATGTTTGTTGGTATGCAAAGTCTAAAGGCAGTATGAAAGCAAATGGAAAAGCAATCAGAGGGAAACCTCCGAGAGACTCTTCTTTGTTGCTTTCAATTTGCAGCAAATTGCAAATTCTGAGCAAATATGTAAAGGTGAGAGGAAATCACTTGAAATGCTTCCATCCATGGCTTTCCAGCTCATGGTCTCTGTCAATGTTTTTTGTACAATGTAAATGAAAAGAAAATAGATGAAACTGCCAAATCCCTCTTTTTAACCTGTTTTGGTTTGTTTCTGCTTTTAAAGATAAGCCGTGCTGATCTCAAAACACTTGACCAGGTCATCAGGTGGTTGCAAAAAATTGGAAAGGAATTTGAGGGGAATTTCCAAAATAGGGTTTGGTTTTAGTACAGTGCTGTAGGAAAACATTGCATTTCAAGTTTCAGTAACCCTTTCCTGTCCTCGTGCACCTACTTTTAGGGGGATTTGGGGGTTTTTTGGTTGTTCTTTTTTTTTAAAATTTAGCTTTACCAAACAGGTCAGACTGATACTGATTTGGCAGAAAGTTCTGAGGGCCATGCTCCAAAATACTTTTGAAATCACCAGGCTTTACTCTTCTGTTAAATCATGCACCATGCCTTGCACTCCTCCAGCTACTAAAACAATCAAAAACTCAGGCAGGTCAACAAACGCATTGACTGAGGTTACTCATTCATTTCACTGCAGTCCCTGAACTGGAACCAAACACACGCAACGTTTCACTGCAGGTCTCAACCGGGACTCTGCGAACTTTCCCCTTTGGGAGAGCTTTGAGTCTGTGATCAGTACACGTTCATCCATTTACCTTGATGCTCTTGAGATCGATTGCAGGTTCTTTGGGTTTAGCTGGTGCTGGTGCCGGTGCTGGTGCTGGCGCAGGTGCTGGTGCTGGTGCTGCGGCTGCTGCTGGTTTCTTTACATCCTTCTTTGGTGCCATTTTCTCTTGCTTAAAATTGAAAGTAAAGGTGCCCCCCCCAAAAAAAAACTTGAAACAAACAAACAAAAGAATCAAAACTCCCCGAACCAAAACCTTAAAAGTGATTCCCAGGAGAGGAGCAGTGGTCAGAATGAGCTACAGCCTGTGCCCTGGAGGTGGACCCGAAGTGCTAAACTCTATAAGGGCATATATATATTTCACTTAGTGCCTCATAGAGTCCTGACACATGCAGCTGGATTGGACAGCTTGCTAATCAAGGGGGATGTCATTCCAGCTTGAGCTATAAATGGAATATAAGAGTTCAGGGCTTCATAAGATCAAGGTACTTCAGTGGCTTTTTCCCTCCCTCTTTAAAAATCCCAACTACCTCCCCTGTATTTTTTTTTTTAATGCATGCAAAGGAGAGGGAAATATGACAAACCCAGTTTCAGATCTGCCATTGACATTGAGGCATGGATTGAACAGTCCTTTTTCTCATCAGAATTTCAGTTCTGCTTAAGTAATAAATCTTCTTTCTTTCCTTCCCTCCCCTTTTCCCCCATGCCTATGTGATTCTCCAGGAGGATTTGGTTTCAAGTAGGAATTTTGACTTTCATGGCTGGGAAGATCATCAATTTCCAACCTCATTTACCTCTCTCCCCACAGCCCCTCACTCCTCCTTCGCTTCCTTCTTTTACAAGGAAGTGTTGATCAAGCAAAGGCTCTGGGTGTTAAAAATAAAGCAGACAAATATGGAAAACACTGCAGTACCTTCAGCCAAGGCGTCTCTCCCAGACCCAGAGTGTCTTTCAGCTGTTCTTACTATTCCTTTCTATCATGTTAAGACTGTTTTTAAAATTGAAAATTGCTTCCTTTAATCTTGCCCTTTGATCTTTTTCCTCTCTTAGGGATAAGCTGTGCCCTGATAGAATGGAAATCAGCTGGATGTTATGTTTCCCACACAAAAGTTTTCCTTTTGTAATGTATTTCTGATTGGAAACTAGCCATCAGGCAAAGGAGGCACTTCTGTTTTCACCTTGTTTGCCTGCCCATCCTGTGTCTCTTGTTTATCTTTCCACTCCTCAGTATCCTGATGGACCTCCCTGCTCCCCATGCTCTCCAGGAGATGCAACTTTCAGAAGATGGCTTTTCTGTTTCCAGTAGACTTTTTCCAGTTAGAAGCAAAACAGTTTCTAATTCTTTCAAACCTGATAGTTCCCCCGGGTCCATACAAATGAGATTTTCTGCAGAAAAATCCAGGACTGCTCATTGTTCCTCCCTCGTCCAGCAATCTCTCTCCCATTTACTCTCCAGACTCCTGGAGTTCTGTGCCAGTAAGTGCAAGGCTTTTGATGGGGCCCTTATTTCTGTCTCATGAGCTATAACTGTGGAGTGTGGTGTAATTGGAAATTTAGAGCTTGAAGGCCTGGACAGACACTTTGCATCCAAAGTTTGGCAGGGTATTCAAGCACTTGCATTTTAGATTAATGCATTTTAAGGAAGATAAACTTACAAAAATGCACATCAACAAAAGGGATGGACAGTGGCTAAAGGTGTATTTTCATGTAAGGAAACCTGTGCTCAGACACAGGTGATCACATATGACCTTTAGCAAGAGACTTTTTGGAAGTTGAGTCATCTCTTTTGAATCAATAGACCTATACTGATACAATTTGAAGCTTTGGCTCAGTCTCTGCTTTAGAGAACACAGACCAGGAGAGATTTTATTTCCTTTTTCTTCTGCCCTTAGTTTTGTGAATGCTTTGGGACAAAGAGCCTGTGATTTGAGCTGTGCTGGCTGCCTTCAAGGTGCTTGATGGAGGGATCCCTGCTCTGCTGGTCTGCCTGGGAAGGCAATGGCATGGCCTCTCCTGTACCACTGAAAGTTAGCAGGAGCCTGTGGGCTGTCATCCCTGAGGGACCCAATGAGGGTATCTCCAGTGATGCTGATATTTTACATTGCACAAACCAAACTTCAGCAAAATCCACCAGTGGATACGGATCCTGGAGCTATAACTTGGGTGGAAATAATCTAAAATAAGTTTTATGCATCTCTACACTGATGAGAACTTTAAGTAATTGCAAGAAAGAACCAGTTATGATCTAATCATTTCTATGGTCACCTGGGGTTTGCAATGTATTTCATTTCAGCCTGAAAGCCACCATCAAATATATTTTAAAAGGAAGACAGGCTTTCAAAAATGAAGCGTGAACTTAGTGCTGGCTCTGCACAGTGTGGCCTGTCTAAGAATGCAGATATGCCTGGACATGCTTCATGCTGTCAGAAAAGGAGGTTTTGTGAGGAGCTGCCACCTGCCACAAAATAATTGTACATCGATCAGGTGAGAAGACAAACAGGTGCAAAGGAGGAGGAGGATGTCAGGTCCTTTTTTCAATTGCTGGGTTAAGGATTTGGATCAAGTCAGTTTTCTGGGCTTGGGACAGGATATCATGGGTTTATCTGCCTGACAGGCTTGGACATGTCCCAGGACACCTCTGGGAATGGATCGGGACTGTCCCTAGGGAGCGAAGTTATCCCAGGTGATGCAGAGAAGGTGTGTCCCTGTGCTCGTGCATGGGAGCTGCTGTTCGTAGGTCTCTGGTGGTGTCGTACCATCTTGCCCTGGTCTGCAGTGGCTGCAGTGGGAAGACTCCTCTTCTTACTTAAAGCAGCAGCTTCATGCAAGCAGGAATACTAGAGCAAACCCCCAGCCTCTCCATCGTGCTTGCTGGGACTTGCCAAGATCCACTTCTAAGGGAAAGCGGCAGCAGCTGGGGATGCGAATTATCACTGGCATCTGCCTCGGCGGGTGCACGGCTTCTGGGGAGCGCATGAATGCTTCTCTCCTGCAGGAGAATCCATGTTGAGGGAAGGCATAACGAATGGTGATGGAGCTTTGGATTTCACAAGGCCTCAGAAAATCCAGTAGTGAGAAAGTTGTTGGTTGGAAAGCATACCCTGTTAGTCCTGCCGCACACTGAAACAGGGGTCAGCTTGCTTGAGGCTTGCCTGGTTTTTACAAGTGGTTTAATTGATGAGGATATGGTTCTGGCCAACACAAAACTTTTATGCATTTAGGCTACATTTAGTTGAATGAATATAACGGAAGTGTGATTTCCATCTGGAGCATTGACGTGATTCATTCTGACACTTTGAATTGGAATATGTTCCTTTTTTCAGGCTAAAGTGACACAGAGGTGCCATTGACTGCAGCACCAGAACGGAAGTGGGAGTTCCTGTGCTGGGCTGCACTCCCTGTGCAATTACTCTGAAGTCTCTGCCTTTCTGGTCCAATTTTAACAGGATGGCTGTCTTGGGGTTTCCTATAGCGCAGGGAGTCAGGCCTTCCTCCAGGAGGAGGGAGCTGATGATTTAAATCCATCCAGTAAAGTAGGAGACTAGATCTCCCATATTTCAGGGCAGCCAGGGAACTGTTGGATGAATGGGTGAGCGCTGCTGCTTCTGTTCTGTTTCAGAATGAACTCCCTTTGAGACTTTTGCATTTTGCTGTCTAAAATGCCTGAAAATGCAATTAACTTCCCATTTTGCCAGTAACTTAAAAACAAGGTACTTGGTTTTTCATTATCCACATAGGAAGTTTATTTTCCTTCTACACTTTTGATGTGTCCACCAAGCCACACATGCTTGACTGCCCAAGAGACATTCAACTGCTTGCAGTATTGTGCAGGGATCAGAAAGTAAAAGCATTTCTTCCAGGATAAGTTTGCTCAGAAAAGCTTAGGCCAGTGGTTTTCTGGGTGCTTCACTCTTCTCAAGATAGTCAGGGCAGCCAGAGGGCTGGTTTAGGATGCCACAGAGGAAGAGATCCTTTTTGGGCAAGATCATACTAATTTATATGCTACTACTCTATGACTGAAAGGCCTCCTGCGAGTTTAGTGCATCTCTGTTTGAGTGTCTGCTTCAAACATGGTTTCCTTGCTTTGTTTTGTGAAATTGTTGGCAAGTTCATCACAGGACGCCAGATGAAGCACTAGTGGAAGTGGTGTTGGTCTCTCAGAAGGCTCTGGTGGGAGTTTGCTTTTGGGCAAGGTGTGCAACACTGAGAATACAGACAGCGTTTACAAATACCTATTCCAATATCTTCTTGGAGCCTTTCTCCTGTCCCCTGCACCTTTATGTTCTCTCATTTCAGCTGTCTGACATATTCTGTCTTTCCTGTAATCAACTCCTATCTGACACCCATTGCTGTTAAATATTTGCCGTGTTCCTCTTCTGAAGGTTGGGTGGCTGCAATGTCAGCAGGGAAAATTGCAAGTGTACATGTACCATTTGGCAAGCAACGAGCTTTGAGAAAAGTTGCAACAGTTTGGAGCTGTGCCCTGGTACAACCACCTACTTTATTCAGCCCATAAGTGGGAAGTGATCCCATTATCCAAAGTTACAAGAAGTACAGGGAAGTTCATGGAGAAGCCTTTTGAATGCAAAGAGAAGTTCAGTGAAATTGAAAACTAATACATGGGAATAATACTTTTTCCAACACCAGTTAGATTTTGAAACTTGTTCCTGGGGAATTATTTGAGGCTGATAACCTGCTAAGATGCAGGAAGGAACTGGGCATTTAGGCAGTTATCAGGAATATCAGAGTTACTATAAATCATAACAAATGTGGAAGGAATATATAATCCATTTCACTGTTCTTAAGCAGTGATAGAGACTGGGTGCCTTTTTCCACACCAAGATGCTGCAAAGATCCTTATGCTTTCTCTTAAATGTATGGGTTTGGCCATAGAAGAGAGATTACTGCCTCGGCTGGACTGCTTGTCTGGTTTGATTCCTCATATTTCACCACAGGCTTAAACTAACAAGCCAGGAATTTGCTGCCAGCAAACTCTTGCAAGATCTCAGCTTCAGACTCTAATACTGACTGTGTGCAACAGGGTACCTAATTAATCTACTAATGATTTGGCTTTGTCAGTGCTCATGATGTGCAAGGCAATTCAACACAGAAAAGCAAAGCCATTTGCTATCCAAGATGTTCTCAGCTGCAGGACACCCTGATAAACTGTGGAAGGTTGTTCAGAAGAGAGTCAGGCCCCATAAATGGCCAGGTCAGCATGTTTCAGGGGTTTTGGCCCAACGAGGGTGCCCTGCCCTTGGGAAGGTGGTCGAGGAGCAGGGCACAGCACGGGAGGAAACCTGGAGGTGACTGTGCAGGAGTGTCA